CAAGAAGAAGGAGAAGAGAGGAAGTAAGGTTATAAGGATATTTGTAGGGAAGAAAGAAGAAGAATGAGTAAAAGTGTATAACATTGAGGCCAACTATATTCACCTAACTTTCTGTTCAACTGCCTTAGTCTCTCCTCCTTTTCCTAGCTATATATCTTTTTTCTCCCTTTCGACGTTTTTGAATCTATATTATTATTTTTTATATCCTAAAATGTATATGTATCATGACAAATTAACTTAATTTTAATCTACATAGTAAATATTTGTATGGAAAAACAAAAACAAAAAAGATAGTAATTTTGACAACGACGGTATCTTTCAAAATTTGAGGATAGTTGTTTCAATATAGATCAACTATATTAAATTTGTATATTACGGAAATATTAAGATGTATTTGATTTAAATATTTTATGTGTAAATTATAATATATTTGTAAATATTCCCATGTCACATATAAGCCAATCAAATGCATCTAGATATAAAATATGGTCAAAGTTCTAGTTGATGTTTTCCCATACAAAGGGAATGTTTGGTAAAGGCTTAATTAGCATATAAATTTCCATATCAATACGGTTTTTTTTTTCCATTTCATTAGTGTATAACATTGATGATTGAGATTTCCATTTCATCGAGTCGCGAGTTTTAAAATTAATCAAGATTTTAAAAATGAAATTGACATACTCTTGGATATAGCATAGTACATAAGATTTTTACGTTGCCAATGAATTATGTGTATATATTATATGGTTTATTATAATAGGCATACAAATTTACCCTCTCTTTAAAAAAAAAAAATTCATTTTGAATTTTCATTAGTAGTTTTTGATTAATTATTGATTTATCAAACTTATACAACTAGAAATCATGAAATCGCTTAAAGTGTTGGGCATTAAATACGGATAAACGAACTTATATAAGCAAATTATTGTAGTTGTGGTTGTTAAGAATCTCATTTGACCGGTCGAATAAACCCGAATATAATTAGCATAATTAATTATTAACATATGCAAACTCATGCATGCACGTGGAAGCTTCTCATCTCATTAAGTATACAGTCTATATAAGTTGGAAAAAATAGTCTTTACAATGCTTTTTCTGGTTCAACTTACTGCTACATTAATATAAATATCTTACAAAGCAACTGTTAAATATATAATTGCTTATAGCTTTCTAAGTTATAGTATATGTTAGAATATTGATACAAAATTACTACATGAGAGATCATGCGACTTTACTAAATTGTGGGTTGGGTTCGAGTACCACTGGGTGTGTCCATTGGCCAATCTTCATATTTAGTTTCAAACAAAAAAAAGGTTCTGGGAAAAGATTCATGAACTGCATGCCGGTTAGTATGCTTAAAAACGGCATACAGTGTAAATTTCAATCCTGAAACTTACGCGCCTCTCTCTCTCTCCC